CCCTGAGGGCAGCGCTGTCTGGACTCTCAGGCCTTGGTCCTGGGGGCTGCATCCCTCTCTCCCTCCCTCTGGGGCACAGACTGCGCTTCCCTTCCCCACTCTCACCAGCCCTTTCTTCAAGTCCCAGAACGCATCTGGTCTTGTCTGCCTCACAGCCGCACGAATTCTGTTTCCTATGCCAGGAATTCCAACCACTCAACCTGATGGCCCTGTGAGCAGTCCATTTTAGGGGGCTTCTAGCTCATATTACCCTCTCACGGAGGTCCTCCTAATCCCCGCGGGTAGTAGTACCAATGTCTGTCTCTGTCCCAAATCCAGGTGGCCCTGGGTTTCTTACCCTGGCACAGACATTGGTGTGTGTGCATCACACACTTTGGGGGCTCAGCTCTGCACAGGCCCAGTGACCGTGGAACCTGCGAGGCTTGGTCAGAAGGGCTTGTTCAGGCCCAAGCTTGAGGATAGCTATAGGCTTAGGCCATTGACCCTTCAAGTCCTGGATCCCCTCTGTCTCCCCGGCATAGGGCTGGAATTTGGCCTAACCGGGGTCACTCAGCAGGGCTGTGACCTCCTCTTCTTTGAGAAGTTCCAGCAAGACCAGCAAGGTGGTCAAGATGGGGGTGGAGAGAGCAGGAGGGAGGGTCAGTGAGTAACCACACAATCTGAACAACAGAACAGCAGTATCACGGCCTGGCCTGCACACCAGGATGGTGACCTGACATGTTTGCAGACACAGGCACTAAAAGACTTGGTGGGTGGAGGGCATTCGCTGGGGGTCAGAAGCAAAGCCTTGATATCAGACCAAACAGGTTATGGTCTTGGCACCATCACCGTAGCTGTGTGACTTTGAGAAGTCCTTCACTCTCTTGAGACGCAGGCTGCTCGCCTGCTAAGCGTGGAGGAGCAGGCCTGTGCTCAGGGTGCCGTGAGGCTCCGTTAGGGAAACGCACTCCAGTGTTGCTGTCACCTGAGAAAGTTCTGCCCCTGTTGTGGATTTATCACAACCCTCCCGTGTAGATCCAGTGTGTCCTTGAGGAAGTGTGGTAGCCAGGCCTGGAGATGGCCCAGTGAGCCTCACCTCTTCCCCCCACATTCTCCTGGTCTGGTGGGTGCAACCCACACACTTTGGAGGAGTGCTGGTGTGGCCGCTTCAGGGGCAGGCTGCTCCGCCTGGCTCAAGCTCTTGGGGGAAGCCTCTGCCATGTGGTGAGGACGCTGAAGCAGCCATGAGGAGTGGTTGGGTGAGGAGGAGATGAGGACTTGCGCCAGCAGCTAGAGGTGCTGGCATGTGAATCTCCAGCCTGATAACATCTTCACCTGACTGTGAGCCTGGCTGACATCTTGGCAGCAGCATCACATAGGCCCTGAGCTAACTCATGTAGCTGGACAACTGCCAAATTCCTGACCCATGATTACTGTGAGATGGTAGCTGTTCAGTGTCCTAAGCTGCTAATTCTGGGGTGTTTTGTTATGCAGCAATCAGTGACTAATACACCGATTAGTTTAGCGCATTTGAATGGAATGTATGGAAAAGAATCTTCCATGGGAAGAATATTCTGGGAGGGAAAAGAGCAAGTGGTAAGGGAGGGCCCGATAGGCAGTTTGTTTGTTTATATTTTGAGACAGAGTCTCCCTTGGTTGTCCTTGGTAGAGTGCTGTGGCATCACAGCTCACAGCAACCTCAAACTCTTGGGCTTAAGTGATCCTCTTGCCTCAGCCTCCTAAGTAGCTGGGACTATAGTCACTGGCCACAATACCCAGCTGTTTTTAGAGACAAGGTCTCACTCTTGCTCAGGCTGGTTTGGAACTCCTAAACTCAGGCAATCTGCCAATCTCAGCCTCCCAGAGTGCTGGGATTATAGGCGTGAGCCACCGTGCATGGCTTCCAAGAAACAGTTTAAAAGAATCCCTCAGTATAGGGAAAGTATACTTGATCCACACTCCTGAGCAGAAGCTGGCAGACCGGACACTCTACCACATCTCTCCAAGGACTCTGCCACACTTCAGCCTTTTGGAACACTTTCTTCTTCTTCTTTTTTTTTTTTTTCTGAGACAGAGTCTCACTTGCCCTGGGTAGAGTGCCGGGGCATCATAGCTCACAGCAACCTCCAACTCTTGGGCACTTGCCACGATGCCCAGCTATTTTTTGGTTGTCATTGTTGTTTCGTGGGCCCACGCTGGATTTGAACCCACCAGCTCTGGTGTATGTGGCTGGCACCCTAGCCACTTGAGCTACAGGCGCCAAGCTCAGGGTCTCACTTTGTCACCCTCCGTAGAGTGCTATGTCATCACAGCTCATGGCAACCTCAAACTCTTGGGCTTAAGCGATTCTCTTGCCTCAGCCTCCCAAGTACCTGGGATTATAGGCATCTGCCACAACCCCTGGCTCTTTTTGTTGTTGCTGCTGTAATTGTAATTGTTGTTGGCAGGCTTGGGCTGCGTTCGAACCTGCCAGCTCCAGTGTAAGTGGCTGGCACCCTCACTGCTGACCTACAGGCATGGAGCCTTGGAACTCTTTCTTGAAGGCACCCCACACTCTTTTCTGGCCTGTGCATGTGCCTTTCCCTGTGCCCCAAATTCTCTTCTCCCCCTTCTGTGGTGGTATTCATCCTTCCGGGGTTAGGTGAGCCCTCACCTCCCATAGGAAGCCGGCCCTGAGTGCAGCGTCCCCCCAGCCCCTTCTGCTCCTCTGCACACTCTTCTCCCCTCCCTCCTGCAGCACAGCCACGAGCTCCCCAGCACTGGAGCTGGGCTGTCTTATTTCTTCTATACTCAGCGTGGTACGGAAGTTTGCCTGTTTCCTGTGGCTGGTGTAACAAATTGCCATGAAATGCATGCCTTAAATCAACGGAAATGTCTTCTTCCCCAATTCTGAAGGCCGCAAGTGTGAAATCAAGGTGTCAGCCTTGCCACCCTGCTCCAGGGGCTGTAGGCACATTTCTGTTCCTTCCTCTTCCAGCTTCTGGTGGCCTAGGTGCTCCTTGGCTTGGTGTCTCATCACCCTGATCAGTGCCTGTGACTTCACCTGGATCTTTCTCCTCGTCTGTGTCTTTTCTCAGGTGACTCTTCCAAGGACACTTGTCAATGAATTTGGTGGACACTCACCCTAACCCTAACCCACAGAAGGTCTAATCCAGATGATCTCATCTCAAGATTTTAACTTAATTAAGTCTGCAAAGACCTTCTCCCAGAAGAGGTCCCAATCACTGGCTATGGGACAGGAATGTGGACACGCCTTGTTTGCTATCATTTGACATAGGTGGTCTGGAGCGCCAGACACCCAGGGGACCCTCCCACCACTAAACAATCAGATTCTCAGAAAAACAAACTTCCTGACATCCTGGGAAGTGGGAGGAGACTCCACAGATCTGTAGCCACAAAGGAACAAACTAAGGCCTGTATCAGAG